GGCTACAGTGACAGCTCGGACATGGTGAGGACCATCCTGCAAACAGTTCAGAACCAGGACAGAGTTCTGAAAGACCTTTACACTCATCTGAGGTAAGAGGTGAAGTTCAGTACACGCATGCAACAGTCAGCTTGTTGTCTAGTTTCTAGTGTTGATTTGATTCTTTTCCTGGTTTGTTTTTTTGTAGTACAATTTTGGTGTGCAAGCAACGCATCGTCGATTTGTTCCCTAAGTTGGAGAGGGCAGTGGAGAACATAAAAACTGCAGAGGCGGCAGTGATGCTGATGCAAATGAAAAGACAGAAGGAGTTCTGGTACCTCCTGAAGATTGCCTGTGTGAGTAGATATATTTCCTGTAAATAATTCAGAAAGTATTCTCAGCTTCGTGTGATGTTGTTGGAGCTTCTTCTTCTGCAGTCTTGTACTAAATGTGCACGTAGAATAATGCAATGTGTTCATGATTCTAGGCCCAGAACAATTCTCCTTCACCGTCTCTAATGCAACGACCTACTGAAAGGTGAGATCTGTACAGTTCACCATTCTTTTCCACAATTTTTCAATTTCATGTGCAATTCAGTTGAATCTGACAGACTCTGTGAAGAAATTAGTTTTAAGTTTCATTTTGTGTAATAAAAGTATTTCAACAATAAAGCTGCCACTACAGGTCGCCAAATGCACCCTTAACTCTGGTAGCTTTTAGAAGCAGGACTCGTAGTTTCCTTACTTACTCGATGGATTCAAATATGAATCTGCGAAAAATGGAAATATTTCTCTGTTGTATTAACAACTCCAAAATTGAAGGCAAACATTTATGCTATCATATACTGTGAAGTATTACTATTATTAATATATCAGAGTCTTCTTTCAGTGAAACTGTGCACCAGTTGTTGGATGAGAATCAACATTATCTGAGTCTACTGACGTCGCTGCTGCAAGATGCAACCCAGGAGATGAAGCACAGTATCATGGTGAGGCTTTGTTAGTGACTGCTGTCGTACATTTAAACAGATTGCTGAAATAAAAACTTGCTGCTGACAAGCTTGACTTACTTCGGCAGAAGACATCTGTAGGAAATATGCTCAGGCAGTGTACATAGTTAGGGTCTGTTGACTTTTATTTCTGTCTGGCAAACACTTCCTTTGCAAACACTCTGCTCTAAAGGAAATGTGTTTAACACAGAGGGCCCAGATTGTTTGAAGATGGAAGAACAGCATGAAAATGTTTGGTAAATGGTGGATGGAGAACATTGAATATCAAAGTACAATATTTATGTGTTTGTTCTCTGCTTAGGAAGAGGACTGGAGCTGGACTCAGTACGGAGCAGTGGAAGCCGAATCTCAGACGCTTTAGAGATTGAACAAAGGAGAGCGATAGGATTCAAGGATTTGAATGTGTTTTAAAGAAGTGCCTTATCACAGTTACACTATCGGAAAGCTTTGTGATTCCAAACTGTGTTTTTCAGACATGTAAAGCTGGAAAACAACACGGTTTGGTAAGCTATGACTGTTTAACTTGAACGTGTGTTATTGAATTTTAAAAAGCTATTTCCTGCTGAAACCAAGACTTATTTATTTTTCTGTTAATATTGATTCAAGGACAAACCTTCCTGCTGCTGATAATAAACTATGCATGTCAATAAATGTTTGGTCTCTGTTTAGCCAGTGTGTCTTTTCTCGTGTTAAAAAGTTAAAACAGTAGGCATAAGGCTATTCACATTCACACAGTGCACCAGACAACTGTCTACACACAAACAGGAAATGACTTGTTTATGGGACCTTGAGTTCAAGAGTCTCTTGGGAGCTGCTGAAATCCACAAAAGCAGAAAAACTAGGGGAACAATGTTACGGAAACATGAGTGAATACTACAAAAATGTAGTGCAGTGGATGTTGAAGGCAGTACTCATTATGAATAAGTCGTTAAAGGAGTAGATTTGTAACGGGCAATGTGTGATCTACACTTACTGCAGATTTTACTCAAGCTGATTTCCAATTGTTACTTCCCTGTTACAGTTTGTTGAGGTTTCATGTCGAAACTGCTGTCTTGGCAAACCAAAAATCATTTCATTAAATTCCATGTATTAGAAAGCAATGCAACAACAGTTTAGTGTTTCTGAAACGCCCTCCAGCCAACTCTGAAGTTTGAAGTTCTTCCCTCTCTTGCAGACTTAACAATTTTTATTTCAAGCCACTTTGTTTCCAGTTGTAAGTGTTTAATTGATTTATATTATTTATGTCATTGATTCTGTGTTTTTTTGCTTGTCTAAATTGTGTTCTCGACAGCTTTGGAAATTAGAGAAACCTCAATGTCTTTTCAATAATAAATGAAGTTTTGAAATGAAATTTTACTGAAAAAGCAATACAGAGCTTGTTTTTTTAAAAGTTAACAAGCCTGAAATTCAGAAATTAATTATTATTTAAGTTTAATTTTGCACTGCTTAATTATCTGTGCCCTGCAGTTTGCTGTCTCATAAACGTAATAAATATGTGTTGGGAAATATTTAAAAGTGTTTATTTAATTGCATTTGATTGGATATTGAATAAAAGCAATGTAAAGCATATAACTACAGTGAACGTACCTGTGGCTTTTATTAAGACTGACCTTATTTTACAGTTACACAGTAGCTTACAGTCAAACAATTTGTGCAACTACAAGAAGGTAACAGTAAGACACTTCTCAAGGCATATTGATAAGTCAATCTTTTTTTTTAATATTCGTTTCCTCAAATTAAAGTTTCGTAAGCAAAGTGTTGGGAACTATTAGGACATTAAACGGGATTTTTGGAACTTTCTCTAAATACAATGGTTCAAATATTAATGTGTTCCTTCGTGACATTAAATGCAACATTTGGAGCAAGTGAAACTCTAACGAGAACATCGAAAGTCCTGCAAGAAACATCTTATAACTGATTTCGATATACTTCGACCAATAGAAACACAGCTTATTCACATAATGTCGCCAGGCATCATGGGAAATACTCCACACTGCTCGCACACAAAATAAACTATAACACCTCCGGATATAAACGTTATTGTTGACCATGGCTTCCACCCATAAAATAACTGCGCTTTTAAATATCTTAGACCTACATACGCTGCAGTGAACATTTTATTTTGTGACACCATGACATTCAAAGGTTGTTGTATCGTGAGGTATATATTTGAATGACCCTCCTTATGTACAATTGGATGTGAGGGCGATCTGGCTGCGACATCTGTCACCCCATTGATCGCTAGGGTTGATTCGGCTGATCTGGCTGGCTAGGCGGGTGTCCCCTTCCTCCCTCACCACTCCATGTGTGTCCCTCCCGAAGCTCCGCGCTCGGTCGATGAGGACGACGTCCCCCCCACCGGCGGACGACCATCATCGGTATACCAGTAGCTGCGCTCCCCTGCTAGAACCTCCAAACAAGCTCAAGGCCCATTTGTAGGAGAAACGTAGGGAAGTCAAGCTCCAAGCTTCAGACACATCCAAATGCGGCACTGCACGTGGCAGTCTGCCTTCCTTTTTGCGTTTTTCAGTTTAGAATCTAATTTTTAATTCACTTTATTATAATAAAATAATAATAACAATAATAATAATAATAATAAACAAAAAAAATAATTTAATTTAATTTAATTTAATTTAATTTAATTTAATTTAATTTAATTTAATTCAAATAAAATGTAAGGAAAATTCAAGTTTTATGAAGAAAGTTAACTGGCTTTTAATGAGTCAGATCAGTATGATATTGAAAAGTGTAAAACATAATAACAACACGCCTACATTAAACCCATTTTCTGGAAATAAATAAATACATTTCAGCCTACAGTATAGATTTGGCTGATTAAATTATTTTAATTTAACATAAGTAGCCTAACTATGATGTCATTCATGTACTGCCTGGACGCTGTCCTCTTCTTCGTCCCTCTCGTATTTTCATTTTTTTAATTTAACATACAACAAAATATTCCAACAAAATCTAGAAGAGGATAAATATACAAACAGCAAAATAGTTAACCTCAATTAAGAATATGTAAAATCTAAGGTTGAACACAATTAGACTAAGGGGGGATTTTATATAAAATAAATATAAATAAAAGGTCTGAAATGTAAGATAATAAAGTATCAATCAAAACAGACTCAGGGTCCAGATAAGACAATAGTAGCAAATTAGTAGTAAATATTTATTTCGATCCATGACCACAAAGCATAAAACATACACGAACAATAATAAAATAAAATAAAAACAATGGCCAAAAAGGTGTAGGATGAAGCCGAGGCTTATTATGTATATCAAAACAAGAATAGCTGCAAAAAACAAACAAACAAAGTAACCTGATTTCAGAAAACAGAAAACAGTTGTCAGTTAACCAAATCAAAACAATAAAAGGAAAAAATAAATAAATGAAAAGCTTCCATAAATGATTAGTTATAGTCAGACTATAGTTATAAACTATTATATGCTTTCTATACGTTTATATTCCATATTTCATAGAGAAACAATATTACCATATATTATACTCCAGGCTCCCTCTATACACAATGTTATACATTCTACTAATCTACTAATGTAGATTTACACATTAAAACAATACACTGTAGAAAAAAATAAAAATAATAATAATTCAAGAAAAAAAAATATAAATCATTATCATTATATATATATATATAAATATAAATATTATATATATATATATATAGATCAGATACAACAGACAGAAAATACAAAGCACAGTATGAAATCACTAAATAAATAAAAAACTGTACCACTGTTTCCATATCTTGAAATCATACCGTGTAATATTTTTCCTCGTATACCAGAAAAGCTCTTATTTCTGAGTGCGCCTGAAGGCACCATAATGTCACCAGTACAAACCGTAGAGAAAGCTGCGAGAGGCGGGGTGAGGGGGATGGGTCGTTGAATGATAAGAGCAGAAGGGAAGACGGCTCGATATACGGAGGTACATCTATTTTGTTTCATAAATAAGCGATTTGATCCGTCGTATGTGTATTAATGATTTACTGTAAAGGTGAGTTAGCCTGTCTGCTACAGCTAAGCTAACAGCCTAGCGAGCTAATGTTAGCATTTAGCATTTAGCAACAAGATCTGACGGAGGTGTTTCCAAAACGACAGGTAGCTAGCTAACCTGGCTAGCTGTCTTAACCGTACGTAGAGCTTTGTTGTGTGTTTGTTGTTTCCAATGCAAATGATTTAAGGCGATGTCTGCACAGCTGCTCCACGCTGTGAAACAGGAACCACTGACTCGAGTCATTCTGTAGGCTCGTCGTGCTGGTTAGCATTTAGCTGTGTGGCTACCTGTGCAGAGTCCGTGTCACTGTCTGTTTAATGACTGTTGTTTACTGTGGGTTAAACTGTCACAGCAGAAAGGATTAAACTGTCAACAACACTGTGAGTAAACACTTTCTTGTAGCAGCTTAAAATGTCATGGGGAAGTCCTTTTGAATGACTGTGGTGCGTTCACTTACTGTTTTTAAAAATACAATAAAATAAATCTGTGAGCGCTGAGTGTTTCAGGATAAATTACATTTAATAATTTGAATCAATTATAAATATATATTTAGACAAGTTTAGGGGATTCATAGGTTCTGGATACATTTGTATACAATTTTTTTTATTTGTCAATTTTTTTAATTCAAAGAAACAATAAAGTTAAGAAAAACAAACAAACGTAAAATCTAAAATTTTGAATGAAAATGAGCAGAAAGAAGATTAATCTTTTAATATCTGCCCCTCTTTCACAAAACATTAATTAAAACAAAACAATTCAAATTAAAGTCCTCCTTACCGATTCATTATGCACCTTACAAAGCATATCACGATACATTTTTTTTGTTACAGCATCACGAAACAAAAACAGTATCTCACTGACATATTTATTAAACAAACTGGCTTTAATTTTTCTTTTAAATATCATGTTTGATTTTGATTCTTTAGTTCCTCTGTTGAGATTGTTCCATAAACCGATTCACAGTAAAACAACGTTCCTTCAATTTGGTTCTGAATCTCGGTTTATTAAAGATCTCTGTTCCTTTTAAATTATAACGGCTTTCCAAATCAGAAAACTGCCTGGATGATTAATGGATAAGGCGTGGGATTAACTGCATTTTCTTCCCACTCCTTTTCAGACATGTGAATTGAGTTATATAGTTCAGTTCAGTGTAGTTTAGTAGAATACCCATCACCTGGAACAACCTTTACAGTGACTGTGTCATAACATCTGACACTTCAAATCAATATTACACTAATAACCGTATTGTATTTGTAAGTTTATTTCATTCACGGACCAAACAAAACAAATAAATACAAACATAACATCTCAAATCTTGCTTGAAAAGTGCAACAATGACTGAACACTTACATAACAACACAATGAGGACAACTCCTGGCAACAAATATGATCAGATGTATTCAATGCAGTGTTTAACAGCCAGTGATTGGTCGTCTGTTGACCTACTGACAGTAGCGATAACTGGTATGAATTGTTTTTATTAGGGCCTGACTGATATGAGTTTTTTGGGGTTGATATCGATATTTGGGAGAAAAGAAATCCAATACCGATACATTGGCCGATATCGTTCTTAGATCTGCGTCCGATCTGTAGAGATAGATAGATATCTAAACACACGTGTGAGTGATAATGCTTGTTTTAATCCATGTAGCATTCTAAAGATTCAGATTCTCAGATTAAGGTTAATGCTTTCTACTTCTTATATTTGTTTAGCTCCAGTTTATAACTAAATAAGCATTTTCGGAGGAGGGTTGAGGGTCTTCAAGATCTTTAACTAAGTCCAGTTGCGGAGGTGGATTAATCTTAGTTAATACTTCTTAGACATTAAAGTTGGTAGACCAGCTTAGCTCTGCTGATGAAACTTGGTTGATTGTGGTTTAGATCCTTATTTTGTACACAGTGATGTAGTCAGTATTTGTAACTTCCTTTATTATGCTTAGTCCAAGTTTTAATTAAATACTTAGATTCTTTTCCATGGCAGAAATTCCTTTCAGTTTTGTTTTAATTTTAATTTTAACTTTAGCAGATATGCCATGAACTTTGGTGTTCACATTAATCTTAAAAGTTATTTAAATGCTTAGATTGAACATTTAGACTCCTGGGAATGTGGTGAGAGGGCTGTACCTTTCAGAAGCGCCACAATCTACATCCTCCAAACCCATGAAGTTGGGATTGGATTTGTTGCAGGGTTGTGGTCTGTGTTGGACTAAATGTATAAACTGTTTATGCACTGCTGCATGTAACGTTTTTAAATCCAACATTATGTTCATGGTTCTTTCTCTGTCTGTAGGTGAGAGCTCGCGAGGATGACGATGCCGCATGTAGGTGCAGTTTTCGCTGCAATAGCAGGAGTGATGGCTATCCTGTTGCACTCCTCTATTCACAAGATAGAAGAAGGACACCTAGCTGTGTACTACAGGTAGCTCTACAAACTCTGACCCCTAACATCTGTGCCAGATGGACAAATATGTTCTGAAATGTGGACACCATGTTGCTATCAGTGAGAGGCCTGTTCTTGATACTCATGAATATAATTTTATCCTGGATAAGACAATGTTATCTGATATAACCGTATTCAACAAATATATAACCACACCCTCATAAATCACTGTTACACCTGAAGAAATACTCTCCTCCAATGTCTTCTCCCCCACCCTCTTTTAATGTAATCAGTCGATCTAGTCATGCCGAGACCTTTGACCAAATGTCTTGTGTGTGTTTTGCTTCAGGGGCGGAGCATTGCTGACCTCTCCAAACGGTCCTGGATATCACATTATGCTACCTTTCATCACCACCTACAGATCAGTGCAGGTAAACTGACCCTAAGCCCTGAAACGTTGCTGTTTAGCAGAGGCATGTAGAAGGCGCTGCACATGAGAACCAGAATCGGGTCTGCTATAAATAAGTCGGCTGCAGCATGCAAACACATGCCAGCCAAGCATAGCTGCAGCAGCTTTATTTCCAACCTGTTTCATACTCATTTGATGTGCAACTCCTGCCATGCTTTAATTCTTCTTTATACTAAACCCTGTTCCTTAATAATTAAAAATGAGCGTATTTTATTCAACCATTCATGATTTTTTTGTAAGTCTAAAACAAAACAAAACCCGCCTCTTTTCTCACATCCCCTTAATTTCATCCTTCCAACTTCCTGAGCTCAAACATAATAACTGTTTGTTCTAGCCTTCACTTGTTAATATTTGAACTTCCCATGAGATATAAATATTAAGATAATAAGCTTTGAGCAGCATAACAAACTGTTTCATAAAGAAGATATAACATATGACATAGTTTGAAATATAAATTTGAACAGCACAGATATTTTAAAATGAGTAGTAGCCACAACCTGTTTAAAATATGTTTACTTTACTTTAACGATCTTACTCGAGGTTCAGTTTTTGCTTATTTATGATCTTCAACACTTTTCTAAATACTCTAGTTTGAACTCGGTGGTTAGAGTGCGTGTTCGCTTTGACTCGAGTTAAGGTTGAAGTTATATAAATATTATTTTGTTGAACGTATTGTTTCCAAGATAAAGGATGAATTGAATGATTAAAATGCAATAAATTTAAGTTAATACGGTGTATTTTGTACATATTACCTGGTTAACTTAATCAAGCAGCAGTGCTGTATCACTTTTTATACACTGTACATGAATAATCATGTCATATTGATTTAGCTGTCACATCCAGATCCATACTGGTGTTTGTGAAAGGCCCAGCGTGGTATGTGATGAACTTTGATCATGTTTTAAATGTGTGTTTCAGACTACACTCCAAACGGATGAGATCAAGAATGTGCCTTGTGGAACGAGGTAAGGTGGAGCTCGTTCACAAAGTTGTTCAGAAACACATCTTTCCTTAAAGTCACGTGTTTAACAGATTTCTAATGTCCTTCACAGTGGTGGTGTGATGATCTACTTTGACAGGATAGAAGTTGTCAACATGCTGGTACCATTAGCAGGTAGACATTTTGTCCTTCCTTATTTTAGGATGCATTACGCCCACCAGGAGCTTGGCAGAACAATAACAGTTTCTCTTTCTTTGTTGATTTTCAGTGGTGGACATTGTGAGGAACTACACCGCTGATTATGACAAAACTCTAATCTTTAACAAGATTCACCATGAACTTAACCAGTTCTGCAGTGTACACACACTACAGGAAGTCTACATCGAGCTGTTTGGTGAGCACAATTAGTATTTCTGTTCTCACACAATACACAGAGGGCAACGTGTGCTGTGTGTTCGTTCCTGAAATTCTTCAAATGTGATGCACACCAGGTTGTGTATTTAAACAGCTTCTGTTTCTTGTCCTGCAGACATTATTGACGAGAACCTGAAGACCGCGTTGCAGAAAGATCTAAATAATATGGCGCCTGGACTCACAATACAGGTATTGAAACAAATACAAACATATTATATTGGAGCATCCCAAATACATGGATGCATGTTGACTGCGCTGTAGCTGTGGTGAAAGTCTTCCAGATTTTATCTACAAATTCCCTAAAAAAAAAAATGTAACGCTGCAAACCTAGTGTTTGCTGTGACTGCTGCTGTTTATAAACTTCATGGAAGACCCTCATGAAGGACACAAGCTGAAACGAGTCGGTCTAAAAAAAGTTCAGTCCAAACTTCATTCTAAAAGTGTTGCTGCAGCTTTTTGACCTCTTCAAGCTTCTCACTCTTCATGCACCTTGAGTGAAAGTCTTGAAGAGGTCTGTGAAGTTGTGCCTGAGAGCCTACCCTGCTTCTTCATTGCTGCTGTGTATCACAGTTAATAAAAGAACGTTAACAGCAATATTCTGCAGGATACTGCGGTCTCTCCTACTCTGATTATTCTCTGTATTTTTAGTCTGCTGTAAGAAAGAGAATGTCAAATTATTCCTTTATATAATGTAGTCAGTTTACCCTTTACTACTCACCAATCACCCAGTCATTAACACAAAATGTGCTAAAAGAACAATTCAAACTTGAAAGCCATAATTAGCCTGGTTACGTGTCAACTTCTTTTCTTAAACTTTATTGGCAGATTTCTTGTCCACAAAGAGATCATTTTGTTTTTCTCTGTTTTTTTTCATAATAAAGGCAGTGCGTGTTACCAAGCCAAAGATCCCCGAGTCTATCCGGAGGAACTTTGAACTCATGTAAGTTTGTCAATTTCATACTTAGCAGTGTAATCTCTGTATGTTTAAAAATCTCTCCTGTTACCACCCACTCGGTTCCATTAAGACCGCACACAAAGCAAAAATATTTGCAAGAACCTGTGTGTTTATGTTTGTGTTTGCAGGGAAGCAGAGAAGACTCGTCTGATGATAACCGTTCAGACGCAGAAGGTTGTGGAGAAGGAAGCAGAGACTGAAAGGAAGAAGGCCATTATTGGTAAATCTGATGTTTTTACTGTAAATCAGCCAGCCTGATTTGCATTTGTTGAAGTGTCATGATCATTTTGGCACTTCCCTTTTTCAACCCCTCAGGTGCAACCCTACTTTTAACCTACACCCTTTGTACAGTTGTTAAAGCCCTCGTGTTTCTCCGTCCCACAGAGGCTCAGAAAATGGCCCAGGTGGCTGAGATCCACTTCCAGCAGAAGGTCATGGAGAAGGAGACGGAGAAGAGGATCTCTGAAATCGAGGGTTAGCTACACTTCTTTCCTGTGAGACAGATGTGTGTCTATCTGGTGTAATGGCGCTGTCACATGTCTATCTTTATTCAACAATATCTCTTTGTTTCAGATTCTGCCTTCCTGGCGCGAGAGAAGGCTAAAGCTGATGCAGAATATTACACTGCTTTCAAGATTGCAGAAGCGAACCAGGTAAATCTTGGCGTTGACAACGTTTGACACATAAACAAACACACAACATCCAATCTAATCACATTAAGATAATACGAGGTTGAAAGGTATGTTTTTGAAAGAAAACATATACTGTATACATATAATGTTACACTACAGAAGCTCTGTGGTCAGAGTCATAGATGTTAAACCATCTAAACCTACTGAACTTGAACTTTGCAATGTTACGAGCTGCTATAATTACGTAGGAAGGGAAAGTAAAATCAATAAAGTCTGTGAGGGGTTAGGCCTCAGGTCTTTGTCTAGAGATTGGGATGGGGATTTTTGTGGGCGAGAAAACATCAGATTTAAGACCAACAGTTTTAATTTCTCCACTTAGTTTTGACAGCAAGATATAAAAAAGGGGGGCAGTGATGAACAGTGTTTAAAGTAAAACACTTTTCAACTCTTGGGGATCAGAAATAAACGTCTGATGAGCAACTTTGAAAGCAGACGAGACACTCGGCACCTTCTCATACTGCTGGGGTTAAAAGCATAGTTTCAATTGGGGGTAGCGGCAGTAGCTCAGCCTGTAGGGACGGGAGGGTCGCGGGTTCAAGTCCCGATGCGGACCATAATATGCAAGTTGTTCTGGTAGCTGGAGAGGTGCCAGGGCACTTCCCTAGTACTGCTGAAGGTGCCCTTGAGCAACTCACTGAACCCCCAACCGCTGTGGTGCGCTTCCTGTGTAGCAGTGTGTAGCAGCCCTGCTCTGACATCCCTCCACAGGTCCTGTTTGTGAATGTGTGTGATTCGGGCCTGTGTGTGTGTGAGAAGCATGTCTCAATAACAGAGGGTAAAACCACAATTTCCCCTCAGGGATTAATAAAGTATAAAAATAGGCAGCTACTGCATTTCAAAAATGAACAAATATAATCAGCTTGCAACGGCTATCAGGCTGACAAACAGCCCTCATGCTACTAACCACTTGTTCCCTTCTCTTGCATCCTTCTTGGACTTAAATTCTTCACAGGCCTGAAGGCTGAAAAGCTTAATTGGCACATTCTAAACTGAATATAAACCCCAAACAACTTTTCTTTAAATCAGCTCCTTACAGGCCTACTTTTTAACACATCCCCCCGTCATTAGGAGAGTATCCATGTTAGACACATTCTAATCTTGACAGCAGGAAATGCTTTGTTTGGTTATGATGAAAAGGGGCACTACAGAGTGCTGGAGGAGTAGTCTTCTGTTAATGTGATTGTTTGTCACGTCAACATGGAGAAGAACATATCTGCAATACAGAGGCAATTGTGGAAAACAGTTGAGGAGTAGAGGTCATTAAGCTGGGTAATAAATCAGAAAAACTCATGAACACACTCTCACTGGCTGTGAACACTCTGGACCATTATAGTGAGATGAGCCAGTGTCTGCAGGCTCATCAGGACGTCACACAGACTCCATGTGATGGGCCTTCTTGGAAAATGTAATTTCGAGTCCTGGGCAACTGATTTGGACATTTTTGTTCTCACTTCTCAGAATCTGTGGACATTTCAGGAGTGCAGTGGTAGTTTGAAAGGAGCTTTAGATTCATAGCAATATTGTCATAAAATGATATAACCCAGCCGTAGTCTGATCCTCACATTCTGTTGTCTTTTTCCTTCCCAGCTGAAGTTAACCCCGGAGTACCTGGAGCTGGCAAAGTACCAGGCCATAGCATCTAACAGTAAGATCTACTTTGGCCAGGAAATTCCTAACATGTTTGTGGAGGGTAACAACAACCCGCCAAAGTCTGCACGCTCCTCCGGCCTGCCCAATGATCAACCAGACTTTCTCAAAACAAAAGCGAAGGGGCAGTGAGTCCTCGGCTCTGCCTCTGCGCGGGACCGAAGAACCTGCAGAGGACTCGTCTCGTCTGTGAGGCAGAGAGCACTGAACTGAAGACGAACCGGAGGCGACAGCTTTGCAGCTAGTGTGCTAAACAACATACTTCAGTCTTAATCTAACATGACAAAGAAGGAGTGTGGAAACTTATGGACAAGCAGAAGACAGCGCTTGGAATGATGCCATAGTTAAAAATCGAAAGCATAATTCATGCTTATGCCTGGGAAGGCGACAGCAAGTAGTCGCCCTAATTTACACGTGCTTGCAATCAGTGCAGTGTTTAACTTTGCTGCTGGATCTGCATTAATTTTGTTTGTTGTATGCAAGAAGAGTGCTTTGTTATGAATAGATTTTTTGAGATTTAATTTCTGGTTACGTTGAACTGGAATCTCGACAGGTGACACTAATTAAAAGAGCGATGGCTTCTGTTGGGTGTGTGACGGGGGTCGGTCGCCTCGGTGCCATCTTTGCTTACACTAATTCACTGGCTGATTCTTGTGTCTCGACGAGAGTCTGTGCGAGGGCTATTAAAGGCACACTTTCATAGAAAATGCTGCTTGTGGAGAAGATAATTATTATGTTAATATGCATTCAGCCGTTTCAGAATTACCCATGAGATTATTTCGGTGGAGCCCGCTTCATCTCCAGTGGGCTGAAATGATCCAGAAGATTTTTTTTTAAATATCACTCTTGAAATAAGTGACCTGACTTTGTTAAAATTTCACCCGAGCATGCTTGAAGTTAGTTACTCATCTACAGACACTCAAGTCTTAAAAGTTGGAGGGCTATCTGCTTTTGTTCAGTTTCTATAGTTATTACACAGTGGTGTCAGTTTAGTCGTCATGTACTTTATTTCCTTGGTGATAGTTTGCTGTTATTGAGCGTTCAGCCTACACACACACACACGCACACACACACACAGACTTGAGATGCTGTTGAAAAGAAAATCTGTTTCTCCCCAAAAGTCGATGAATAGTGAAAGGTTGATTTATACGGGAGGGTTAAAGGGAATCAGCTGAATTATTGTGCCACTGGGGGAAGACGTGGATTGTCTTCCTTGTAAAGAACTGCGAACATCTTTTATCTTCCATCTGATTTTGAGTATCAGGGCCATGCATGTGTACGTTTTGTGGTGGCTTGATTCAGATGATTAGTAGTGCCTGCGATTGTCTGCCAACTATGTTGTCATGCAGCTTATATAGATTCAATGTAAATTCTCAGGAAGCTGACTTTTAATTTTAGTAAAACAGCTGCTCATTGTTGGAGAATGCGTGCAGTCTTTTGAAGAGTTAAAACCCCCCAATAATGGCAAATATATCGAGATTACATTGAGTACAGTGAAATCTGCGAGGGGTTAAAGTTGTGAAACCGGACAATATTTTCTCATCGAGTATGAACGCAGCTATGATTCAATGTCTAACAAGTCCACTACTAAAAAAAAAAAAAGCACCACTTGCAGATGGAATTAGGAGTAGTTGTGTCCTTAAGGAGACATTTTTATTGCTCCGTCTATTTACAGAAGACGTCCAGGACTTCAAATATCAGGAGGTCATTGGTCTGTCAAAGTCGAAAATAATCTAAGCAAAACCTCCTTTCTTGTCAATGTTTACACTTCTCTGTGATTCAAGAATTGATGGCTTACAGAGTTTTTTTCATTTTTTTTTTTTCATCTTTGCTAAACAAGATCATTTTAAGGATGTAAAAGGAAACACAAGCCCGGCACGGCTCCTCATCACACTTCATGTTTAACTCTTTTTTTGTGTGTGTGTGATGACATGAGATGAGAAACCTGCTTTGATCTATTTAAAGATGAATGTTAATAAAAAAAAAAAAACTTGGGCTTAAACATGATGCAAGTAGGTGCTAGCTTTTAATCATTGTGTGTTTAAGCTTTTGATTATGTTCAGCTTTGTTTGAGAAACAATTGAAATACTTCCACTATTGAGAATTCAAGCCTTAAAAGAATAGTTGAAACTCATAAAGGCTCTCCTTAGACTTAACTGTGAGGCTTGTGTAGAGCTTGTATGACTGTACACTGCGGTCTCAGTGGGGGACTCTTAACTGAGAACGACAGAACTATCAGTGGATAATACTAGTTGTGGAAGATGTCGCTTTGTTTACTTGACCTCTGAATGGCTGCACTCTGCGTTTGCCTTGGTGGTGGGTTTAAATAAAGATGCAACAGAGGGGCATGAATCACTCAATTCAATGATTTTTTTTTTCTCCTGTCAATATTTTGTAAAATCTGTGAAATTCAAACATTGTCTCCTTGTTTTAAAAGGTTTATATGCAGAAAAAAAGAGAAATGTTTTCCAGTTTTGACAATGTTCTTATGTAAAATAAAACCTATTTTGGTACCTATCTTCTCCCTGTGATGATTTGTGTGTTGATATTTTGTAGTAGTTGTATGAGCCATTTGATGTTTATTGTTGGCATGTTAAATAATTAGAGATTCATCTTGACATAGTATTTTCCACTAGGGACACTGAATGCACAGGGGTGGGCATATATTGTGGCATAGGTGACAGGAAGGGGAAGGCACAGGTAGGGGGATCACATACAATTCTCACTAGACCGGCATTCATGGGTCAGACCAGCAAGAGGGTATGTTTTCAATGGAAATGGTATATTTTTGTTCTCATATCTCCATAAATTTACTTCAATAAATCTTTAACTCAACTATAATAACGGCTGGAAAATCATGGCTGTGTATTAATGGCAATAACAGAGTAAAAAATTGCCATTACAGTACTCTTTAATGCCAACAGGAGGCGTTGTGACACCATGTTAAACACTGAAAGCTCTTGTTTAATCACTCACAGATTGTTTTGGTAATTGGGGGTTGTGGGATGAATAAGAAAACAGTTAAAAAAAAAACATGAAGTAGGAATTTTTATCATGGGCTCAAATATGGGTCAGTAGCAGGATACATGTGATAGATCAGTGATCTGTCAAACTTTTGAGTAATCCTCACATGAAAGTTATTCAATTTGTAAAAGGTATTTGGTTTGAAAACCTTTTTAAACCAAATAAATGATTTACATCTAATGGAAGGTAGCACAAAGATTAAGAAAATAAAACACTATCAATGTCAGTACAGTACATATTTTAAGATAAAAACTGCCAAGCTCAAAGTTCCCACACTTTGTGGGACACTTAAATTACGCATGAGTTTTTAGGCTTAGGTTTTGAATGTGGAAAAAGGTTAAATTCTTACCCACTCTCAGGATAATGTGTGAGAACATGTGGAGACATGATCTACAACAGATGTTGTATTTATTCACAAACCTTTATTTTTATTATTTATTTGTTTTCCACTTTACAGAGACTAGTTTGTGTGTTAAAATGAGCCTGGGCCAAACAAAGGGTCACTATTAATTTGGCTCCACCAGGTTTTTGGTCATGAATCATATAATTTGCACGTGTAGGCTTGTCTCTCTCTCTTTTTTTTTTAGGTCAGGGTGGTGGAAGCAAGACGAGGATGATTCAGTGAACAGCTCCTGAAAATACATACACAATCCATCACACAGTCCCTGTTGTTCTAACCCATCAAAATGTGTTGTAAACAGCGATGCGTTTGTCTGCTAGGCTTGTAAAACAGTCAACCCAGTAAACTTGAGTCTAAAGCTCAAGTCCTGCCCTCAGCAAGGCCGGTCAGCTTTTCTTGGAGGACTTCCCGGATGAATTCTAAGTGTGCATGTGAGGGAGTGTGTGTGACCGCTGCCTGAATAACCAGATGAGGGATTACTTCCTCTTTTGACCTCTGAGTCCTCGCAGAGATCTCTGTTGTATTTTCTCAGAGTCCTTAAGAGGGATAGTGTTTGGTTTTAGTCTGACCCAGATCTGTTTTTTATTCTGATGTCACGATTTGTGAGAAATATGATCACAAAGCATGTTTATGAGTGCAATTAACTGCGCTTATCCTCATCTTGTTTTCTTGACCGGGAGTTTTTCCTGGTGTTCATTTTGATGGGTGGTCTAGTTTGGGGTGCAGATCCACAGAGCTTAATCCCCTCCCTGTCAGGAAGCGGGGTCACGGTCAGGGTTCGCTTCGTCCTGCATGAGCCAGCTCCTCTCTTTCCTTTTCCTTTTGTCTCTCATCATCAGATCCTGTGTGATTCCTCCAGACCTTGACTCCACTCTGGATATAACCCTCCCAAGAGATCTGAGGGTGTGGTTCCTCATCTCTGAGTGTAAAAATCTGCTCCCCAAAAAGCAGCATGATATTGACTATGATTCATCAGCGGCAGTCTGCGCCATCATCAATAGCTGCTCTGTTTTCTCTCGCATTCCTTTCCTGTGTGTTGGAGCAAAACACACACTCTTAAGAAGATTATTTGCTTTACTGTTCATCACCACTTCATCTTCTCAGGATGAATTGTGTTGTCTATACTTGAGTTATATCCTTCTTGGTTGCCTCTGTGTAATTTTTGCCCGTTTTGATCATCTTATAAGGGTAACACATACAAGTTAGTTTATTCAAAGTGGCCTTGATGACGTCAGAAGAGTTACTTTGAGTCGAGGCCATTTCACACTTTGAAAAGCTGCTTGGTATCAAATTTGGCAGAAGTTAAGTAAAAATCAGCTCAATATTAAACTTAGATAAACTTTGATCTGTAAATGTGTGATCTTGATGGTGTCCATCTTTGATTGAACCAAGCAGAAGTTTCAAAGCGTGAGAAGTAAAGCTGAGAAGTACTAAAACTGCATTTCCCTGAATGGCCACTTGAAGCTGACTCAAAACCAAAGTGAATCCCCATTAGGCTACAATTCTACAAATCATTAGCAGACGATTTTATCCAAAGCGATGGACATCAGAGCGTAAGAACAACACAAGCAAGGGTCTAGAAAAAAAGGAAACAATGTCAGTAAGAGCAAATTAACAGTTTTAAGTTTGATCGGATACACAGGTGCTGACAGAGAGAGGCAAATCACAATAATAATAATAATAATCTTTATTTATAGAGCACTTTTTAAAAACAAGGTACAAAGTGCTTTACAAGGACAGCAAATATAAAAACAGGCAGGTCAATAATAAACAAGGCAAGATTAAGGAATAACAATCACTTTAAGATATAAAATCCCTTTTAAAAGAACTCTAAAATAGATTCAATTCTTTTAAAGGAAAAAGTGAAAATAGTAACAATTTAAAATCAACAAAAATCAGGAAAGGCTCGCCGGAAAAAGTGTGTCTTAAGAAGGGACTTAAAAGAGATGACTGATTCGGCCGACCTGAACAACACTGACCGCTGTTCTTCAGAGTTATAATCAGCATCAAAACCATCCTACAATTGTTGTTACCAAACAAAACCATCGTCATCATCATCACTATCGTCATCAATAATATCATCAAGTGCGTAGGTATTCATGGAAGAGCTGGGTCTTTGGCTTTTTCTTTTAAGGTGCAAAGGGACTCTGCCGATCAAATGGAGTTTGGAAGTTCGTTCCACCACTGGGGGGGGGGGGGGGGGGGCGCGACAGAGGAGAAGAGTCTAGTCAGAGACTTGATGTTGTATCTGACACCTTTCATTGGAGTAGTAGGCGGGAGGTAGTGTAGACCTGGATGATAGAGTTTATGAAGAAGGAGCCGTTTTTGCCGCTGTTTTGCAAGCAAGCAGCAGTTTTCTTAAAATGTCTTAAATAAATCGAAACTTGATTGATTTATTTTTGGGCTTTGTATGCCTTTATTTAGATAGTGGATAGATCAGGAAATCAGGAAGAGATAGAGAAGGAAGAGAAATACATAAAGGGAGGCTAAAGGACCACAGTCCATGCACATGGGGCGAGACCAAACCACCAGGCCATCCGCCCCGTCTAGAGCAGATTGTACATATTTAAACGCCTGGTACAAAAAGATTTTGGTCACTAAGACACGTTTTTTATTCATGACAAGGTTAGGGAAGGGCTTTGCATCATACTAAGGGTTATAGTTATACATAATTAGTGGCAAGCTCATTGGCCAGCTGGTGAATTAGCCTCAGGCACAGACTGAAGCTCTGACGAATTGGCGTTTGCTAACCCCTCCCTCCTCCACTTTTCTAAAGTTTGTCTGACTGGAAACATGTCATGGGGAGAGCCAAAATGGAGGCTTTGAAAAGGCAGTCAAACCAATGAGTGATGTCACAGTGATGTCATGAAACAGTGAGCATAAAAGAGATCGGGGTGGAGGGAGCTATTTAAGATGATAAGCTGTGATTTTTAACCCACTTTAATTTAAAGTCCTCTATAGACAGCTCTACATCAGGGGTCATTTTTTGTCTTGACTATTTGAAGTTTATTTTCTGTTAGGGACTTGGTTAGCTTACGAGCATGTTCACCACGTAGCTCAACCTGCAGTCTTTCATTTCAGCTATGACCTTAAGGCTTGAGATTTATAAAATTTCAATTGAATTGCAGGATTGAGTATTTGAGTAGCTTGACTCATAAGATCCAACATTTATACTTGGGGAAAATGGAGCAGCAGTAGTTACAATTGCATTTAATTATGATGCTATAGGCTGTGTTGACTTTTTTTTGTAAACCAAATAAGCCCTATCCCATTTACCATTCCAATCATAAAGCTCAGGATCAAAAAAAATCAAGGCTCTTGGTTGTACTTTTTATTTACTGTGAAGTCACAAAACTGTTAAGTGCAAAATAGAAATCAGTCACAGGATAGACTGGGATTTGCAGACTCAGACTGTTTGTTCAATAAAACGTCTTAGCAACGAGCTCGGTTTGCTAACCTTTGCTGTACTTAGGTGTAAAGTGTGGTTTTAATCTGAACTTTTAACACACCTAATTATAGATATAGCTTCACATTGATTATAGAAACCCCATGCCAACGTGATTTTTGATGGTGCAATCATGTCTTTGTCCCATTTTCCCTCACATTGAACTTTATATAGACTACTAATTGTGTTGAAACAGCAGCAGAGAAAGCACAATTAATACACTACACATGATAACTGGGAAGGAGTAAGTTATTTACATGATGACTTAATTTGCCCAGTAAAAGAAAACATCAAATAAACATGGATTGAAATGATTGCCTTTGTAGAGTGCTGCTAACTGGGCAGTAAACTGGTTTAGCTGGCCAACCTACAATAAAACTTTAAATTGTAAAATACATGCATTCCAGAGATCTTTAGTCCTGATTAAACTTATTTGTAATAAGATGCAAAGTTTGAGAAAGGTCTTTACTTGGACTGATGAAGTGTCAGTTCTACAACATGTAAGATTTGAACCTCAGTGTTTTCTTTAATCTTGATCATGGTGATTGATTAGTTGGTATGACTGTAATCAGGACAACAAAAGGCCGTCACAGCAGCAGGCAGCTGGAATGGATCAGCTGCTGTG